ATCCATCACCCTTTCTTTCTCTACACGCTGATCCTGCTCAGTCCTGCCCTTCCCCCCCCCCTTCCTTCATAGAGAGAACTGAGCAGAGAAGGAAGGGCTTCCCGAGAGAAAGGAAGACCTCAGTTCCGATCCTACTCAAAGCACTAGGGCTGTAGCTCAGTTGATAGAATGTTTGCCTAGCACGCACAAGGCCGTAGGCTTGGCCCCCAGCACTCCATAAAACTAGGTGTGGTATTGAATGCCTGTAATCCCTGCGCTACAGAGGTGGAGGCAGGCAGATCAGAAGTTCAGGGTCGTCCTTGACTACATGGTAAGTTTGAGGACAATATGGACTTCATGAGACTCTGGGGTGGGGGGAAGCTGAGACTAAGTGGGGATCTGAGGGTGCTCCCTGAGTGGGCTCTGGGAATGGACCACGGTTAATGAACCACTGTCCGCAGACATCTGCCAGGCCAGTGAAGGCTATGATCAGCAGTTATTAGACACCTACTGTGTGCCAAACACTGAGAACAGGACCCACGACCGGGATGAAGATGGCTGGGCCCAGGCAAGGAGGTAGAGACAGGAGGATCAGATATCCAAGGTCATCCTCAGCTACACAGAGTTTAGAGGGCAGCCCCTGAAGGACCCTGCCTACTCAGAATATATGTAACAAACTACTGTGCCTTTAGAATTACCTCTTAAAGAGTGGAACAATGTTGCCATTTTACAAGATTCCTAAAGGACACAATTTAGATAAAATTTGGCCAATCGTTCCAATCACAGACTTGTAAGTCAATTCCATTCAATTCCACAACCATCACTGCAGAGCCTCACTCATTCATAAAGCTCTGTGGCATCCTTCGGCCACCAGACACTATGCTAATGTGATAACCTCACAGCAGAGGGGAACACCACAACAAGGTAGGCACAATCCCTGATCCCAAGTATACGATCAAAAGAGGAAACATATGGTAATAAAGAAGCCAGGGGCATGAGGCTCCTTCGAGGAAACAATGCTTTGTGGATAATGCAGGGATGGGGGTGGGTTTTGAGAGCTGGGACAAGAGGTGTTCCAGGGGATGACCCAGGCACAGGAGGGAACAGGATAGGTCTGAGGGCTGAAAAAACAAAACAAAACAAAACAAAAAACCAGTATGGTGGAAAGAAGGGTGCAAGCGGAGAGTCAAGTGTCCAAGAGTGGACCCTGCAGAACTTTGGGTCCCTTCAAATTTGAAGTCTGTATCTCAAAAGTAGAGAAAACCACTGCAGGGTTTTTAAGGATGCTGCCTGTATGGGAATCACCTGATCGGACCCTCATTGCTGGGAGTCTGCCTTAGAGAAAAGGGAAGGATTGGAAGAGGGCCAGAGCAGAAGGGGGGGGGGGCAGACCTGTCAGGGGCTCCCATCTTGGCCCAAGAAATGGATGACAGAGTCTGACTTATCTTTGGAGAGGGCAGCTACAAGACTTGTTGGGGAGAAGCTATCACCGCTCTGGCTGGACTGAAGGGGCTAGGAAGTATAGAATCTAGGTTTATGACTCCAGCACTTGGGTGGCCGGCTGAGCTGTTTGCAGAGGGAGGGGCAGATGTGGAGGAAGGAGAAGTTCTCAGCATGCGTGAATCAGATCCACTGAGCACCCTTTCTTATCAGGCCACTACGCTGCCAGCAATGGGAGCCTCCGCCGAGGTTACCGCATACTTCACTTCTAGAGGTAACCGATATGAACGGCTGCCGGCACTAACCTTCCTCAAACACACTCACTCCACTAGTGATCAGAGCAAATAGCCCAGTGCAGAAAGCCAATAAAAGGTACTCAGTAATGTCTGTTGAGTAAATAGATGTCCCAAGTGCCACCCAGATACCAGACACCAGGGAAAAGAAACCCTTACTCAGGGCATGTTATGAAAGCCTAACTGCCCCGGGGTAAGATCAACCCCTTTTCTTCTCAGAGTTGAAGGCCACAGGGAATACTACCGAAGAGTAAGCTGACATTCTCACTGCGGGTGCGGTGCGGGAGGGAGTCTGGCGTTCTGATAGGACCACGGGGTGGTGGTTCCGAAGACAGCAAGTGTTTCCCAGCGGGGGGTGCCTGCCTGGCTGAAGGATGAGCAGAATGGGGGGTGGAGACAAATGGAGAGTCACTCAAGGCCAGGCACAGGCACCCCTAACCGCGTCGCCATAGGAGGCATTTTACACTACTGAGACATGAAGTCTCTCCAGATTCCTCCATGCTGAGACAGTCTATTTTTAAAAGAAATCAAGTCCCACTTAAAAACTCTAGGGACATATTCTCAGAAAGCTCAGCTCAGTGAAGTTGGGGGGCTGAATTTGGACCCAATCTCACCTCCACGCTCACCCACCCCTCTAAAAAAGCCACTGCACCCCACCTTTGTAGCATTTCATTTCTTCCTTCAAAGTTCTCTTTAGCACATCTGCTACCCTTACTCCTGGGCAAGGCCAGGCTCACTTCAGCTCTGGAAGCAGCCGGAGGGTCTGCGGCGTTGGAACTGTGCCGCCAGGCCCCTGGCTCACAGACCTGGATCTCCGGTTCCGTGGCCGAGTTAGTGATGCCCAGATGGGTTCCTAGGTTTGTGTGTCCCGGGGTTAGGCTAACCACAGTCACGGTGCACCCCGAAGAGCCCAAGCGGGTGTGGATGGGGGCCAGCGCTGCGCCGCGCCAGGAAGCAACGAGTGCGGGACTAGGGCACGCTCGGGACCCTCCGGAGGAGCGCGGCGGCTCCCGAGGATGACACAGCGTTTCCCCGCACCCGGCTCTCTCCCGCGTCCCAGCCACATCCTCGCAGAGAGCATTAGGAGGCCGGCTGGTCTCATCACTGAAGCCCCGACCCGGGGATAAGGATCGGGTCGCTGCACCCGTGCACGCGGTCCCATCCTGGGATGCACGTAGCACCCTGCTGGAGGTCGAGGAACCGGAGCGTGACCGTGGGGCGTGACCAGGGAGTTTTGCCCCGCGACTGTCCCGCAGCTCACAAGGAAGGTCAGTCCCACTCGGGAAGAAGTTGAGAAGCGTCCCAGCTACACCACCTGCCCATGCAGCACAGGACTGGAACTTTGCGCCTAAGGCGCACTTGCCAGAGTGACCCTTCAGAGCCACTCGGACCCGGGACCCGCGACCCGCGTGGCCAATCACCGCGCGACGCGGACGGGGGCGGTGGCAGGGCGCGGGTATCCGAGGAATGACTGCGCCACCCACCAATAAGAAGCCAGGGTGGGAGACCTCGCCCATCCGGTTGACCAATGGGAAAAGAGCGGCTACAGCCGAGGTCCCCGCACTAGCTGTAGGCTCTGGTGGCCGCGGGTTGGAGACCCTCGGGCTGAAGTGACTTTGCAGGAGACTTGGCTCGACCCCCTCCCCTGTGCCTCCCTCCCACCCGCGGGCCGCAGCCCGGGCCTTACCTGCTGGAAGCGAGGCTTGCCCAGCTGGAAAGGGGGAGCATCGGTGGAAGCGTTTGCAGGACTGGCCGCCGCCGCCGAGGTTGTGGTCGCTGTATCCGCCATGGCCACTGACGCCCGCAATCTCCAGCCCTTTTAAAATGTCCCTCCTCGGCCCCCGCCACAGTTGCCTCTCCCGATTGGCCGTGAGCAACCGCAGCAAGAAGGGCGCGCAGGGCCTTGTGGGGAGTGTAGTTTTCCTCAGCTCTGAGCCTGACAACCCGAGACTGCGGAGAGCTGCACCCACGCAGACCTGGTTTCGGTTCCAGCCGCCAAAGCAGCAGGCACCGACAATCTTAGGAATGTGTGCAGGTGCGGGTATACTCGCGGCCCTAAATTTTAGGACTAGGGACGTCCAACAAACGCGGACCTGACCAGGGATCAAATAGACAAGGACTCCAGGCAGAGTGGGGTTAATTCAGAAGGCCTTCAGCAAGGATTCGCACTGCGGGATTGCACTGCGGGATTTTCCTGCCGTTTCTTCTATCATAACCCTGCCTCCAGCCATTCTGTCACTCTGCCATTCTCTTAAACAAGCCCTGCTCAAGCTACTATGATCCTTGAACATTCTACTCATACTTTTACCATGGTTTGATGCAGTTCTTTTTCTAGGCTTTGCTTAAGCATTCATCGATTCCATCACTCTACTTCCACAAAATCCGCTTCAGGATTCTGTAACCTCAAGACACTCTGTTTTGTCTAGTTCCATGTAGCTCAGGCTAGCCTGGAACTACGTAGCACAGGCTACCCTCAAACTTGTGACCCTTCTTCCTCTGCCTCCCAAGTCCTGGAATTATAGGTGTCAGCTAGCTGACCAGCTATGGGCTTAAATATCTTTCTAATGGTGTGGGTGGGGAGGGATGATTTTGGTTGGATAAATCTTCAATGCAGGTATAGGAGGACCTATACTAGAACTCAGATGTAGGGAGTGACTTAAGCATCCTGAGAGACACCCCCCCCCCAGCCCCATTTTGACACAAGGAAGTTCCCTCCCAAGCCTAATTATCAAGGACCAGCAACAGTGATTCACTGGGAGCTGCAGAGCACACTGGGTAACAAACACATACTCCCGCAGAATGGTGCGGAATGGCCACTGTAGTCCCAGCTTACTTACCTGGTTGATGAGCCAGCTTGGGCTTAGATGGGTGGGGAGACGCTGGTCTCCCAGGACAAAACTACTCGATTCTAGGGAAGCCTCCATCTCAGGATGGGATTCAGATTGAGGTTTCCCTCCTGTCCTTCTGGACACTGAATGAGCAGGAGGTGGCCCAAGTACCCATTCACTCACTAATAGCTGAGCCACAAGGAACAGCACTCACAAATGACCCTAAAGCTGGGGAGAGACGATGGCTAACCAAAGAACCATTTTTATTTTTAGTTTGTATCCTACCTCCTCTTACTAAACTCTGTGGCTTCAGAACAGAAACCACAAGTTTTGCCCTCTTTCTTCCCCCACGGCACTCACTTAATTTATGCCCGTGGTCAGTGCCCAGTGAACCGGGCACCCCGCCCACAGGCAGTCCCCTTCACCCGCTCATTTCAAAACAGGAACACACCAGGCCAGCTGTGGTACACGAACTTTTTATTCTTCATAAAGTGCTCAAAACATGAAGAACAAGCTCTTTATAGACAGGAGTTTCAACTAGGAAGACCAACGGCAGAGCAGAGCTGTACCTGCTCACTGCCTGCCAGCCGCACTCTGCAATGTGTGGTATGGAGCAGACACAAGCAAAACCCTGGCTTCAGTTCAGAGCCTCTCCTGAGACACCCCTGCCCTGGCCACACAGGGAGACAAAATGGCAGGGACGGGCGAAGGGCGAGGGGACAGGGCCGGAACCAAATGAGCTCAGAGGCATGCCTAGCAGAGGGACTCACTTCAGTGCCCAATGACCCCCCACCATGTGGGCAAAAACCTGGAAACTGGTGGCTGCTTTCTTCATTTCCGAGTTGACCTAGAGTTGGTAACTGTACTGTGGGGGCCCATTGCGGGGTCTGTCTGCTCTATGCTGTCAGAAGACTGACATCCACAGAGCATACCTCCTGAGGTGTTCTGAGTGAACTCATGACCCTGCCATGAAGAAACAGGTGTTGCCTTTCCACCCGGCCCAAATCATCTTTTTTCAGCATCTCACCTCCTTCACACATACTTTTTGCTAATGCACAGCCACCAAGGACCCCTGCAGATGCCATGGGGAGACCTGCTTTATTCACAAGCAAAGAAGAAGCTGGACCACAGGGTAAATACTTGGCTTCAAAATGCACTTCAGCCAGGCCAGGAAAGACAGAAGGGGTTGGTGAGCAAGAGGGAGGCTGCACAGCAGCTTACAGAACAGCTGGAGAGCCACAGGCATTTCCTAAGTTCAGGTCTCCTAAGGCAGAGTGAAGCCTCCCACTTCCCAGACGCGCCCTCTGGTCCAGCACAGCTGGGACTCAAGGCCAGACACAATAAGATGCAGGGTAGCCCCAGGCTTACTGTGCACTAGATTTTTATCCCAGGATGCTCTGAATGGGGGTCAAGGAAGGAGCAGGAGGTGGGAAGAAGACTTAGGAGGTGGCAGCAGGTTGGCTAGAGCCTTAGCTGAGGTACTTCTTAGGGAAGCACAAAGCCTGGTCCACATCCCCCTTTCAGGACCTTAACGGCCATTTTCATGTGCTCAATAAGAGGGAGGGGACCCCACAGCCAGAGTGGTCACATCCAGAGGCTCTTGTCCTCACCCACAAAAGGCACGTTTTAATTGGTTTCCAAAAGTTCTGACCCCACAGCAGCACAGTTTTGGCATCTGGACAAGTAGTAACAACGGACATGGAGGCCTGATCCCCGTAACACGAGCAGCCCCAACCTGGAGGGTCTCGTGTTCGGGAGGTAGGGAGAACCTCAGGAGCAGGGAGTCATCCTCCCTACACCCAGCCCCACCACCCATCACCACTGGGACATGGAGTGGGAGGGTCTGAAGAGGGGCAGGGAGCAGCTGAAGAACACAAAGACACAACACACATCACCATCACCACCACCACCATCACCATCACCACCACCACCAACAACAACAACCTGTATACATGCTCCACACACAGCCCCAGACAGAAAGAGAGACAAGACTAAAACACACAGGCTCCCTACTCTTAGGGTACAGGCACAAGGTTGAGGTGTAGGTGCCCTGGTTGTCCACAGCGCACAGACAAGCAAGCAGCTTGGTCCCCATCCCAGTCCCAGTCAATACCAGGAGGACCTCCAGCACGATCGGCCAAGAAGAAACAACCGACCAACCCCATGGGGTGATTTAAATCTGTGCTGGCACAGTGTTGCCCTAGATACCACAGCTCACCCCAGAACCCACAGCTCACTCCTGCTCCATCTCGACAGCTGACATCCTTCTTCCAATTCTCTGGGGGGCCCCAAAGCTACTAGTGTGAAATGGGCAGGTAGGAAAGACCCAGGGCTCTAGTGGGAGTTCAAAGGGGCCCCTTCCAGCAACCCCAGCAGAGGCAGGATGGGGAGGGGAGCAGAGGGTGACCAGGAGAGCAGGCCGTGCCCTACTCAGGTGACTAGTCAGTGGAGGGCATCACACCGGCCCTCAGCAACCCTCCAGGGATGGAGGGAAGGGTTACTTGTGGGGGGCAGGGGAGATCTGCAGCAGCGTGGGCGAGGTCTCCATGATCCTCACCAGCAGCCGGTCGATGTAGCTCTCCAGCTCCTGGACATGCTCGTCTCTCTGGCTCAGCTCGCGCTCACGCTGCAGGAGCAGGCCAATGAGCTCATCATGAGTCAGGTGATAGTACTTGGCCGACTGGTCCAGCACAGCAGATTCCTATGGCCAGACCAGATGGAACTAAGAAAGGGAGGCCCAGACCTTCCCACCAGCTAGCCCACCCAAACCTGTTTCCGCACTGTAGAACCCCAGACTCTGCAGCAGCCCATCTCTAAAGCCAGAGATATCCTCCCCACTTCAGAGCTGTGGCATGGGGAACCGCCAGCTACCTGCTCTGCCCTTCGCACCTCACTCAGCCTCTCTCTCGGGTGCCTCCCAACACCTTGCTGGGCCTCACCTTTAGCCTCTTGGTGTCCACAGTTGGGCCAAGCTGAGATGCTGGAACCACAGACTGGATGCTGCCAGATGTGACAGTTTTGAGCTTCTCCAGTCCGCTGCTCAGGGCTGAGCTCAGGCTGGTGCGGGGCTGTTTCCTGTCGGGGCTGGCCTCCACAGGGGCAGCGCTGAGGGGCTTCACGGGATGGGGACTGCAAAGACAAAAGGGAGGTGAGCTGCGGGGAGGGGAGGGTGGAGTTGCTGTCTCTGCATGGCCACCTGACCTGATGAAGAGCTGGTGTCCCCAGGGCACAGCATCCTGTGCACCTCAGCCCACCAGCTTCAATCCAGCACGGACAAGTGGCCTACCGACTCTGTGCCTGCACCAGTCTTCGCCAGCTCCTCGCCTTCTCTACTTTCTCAGTTTCCCAGCAGTCGAGACTGTGAGAATGTTAGGGTTAAACTGGTGGTCCTTCCTCGCCATCACCTCTCTCTGCTGGGGGCTTACCACAAGCCTCGGGACAGGCCTGCAAACTCTTCTCGACCTTGACCGTCCTCCGCTCACGACCCTGCCCAGAGCCGGGGGACTGACGACTGCCTTTAGTTTCGAACTTCTCACCTTGAGAAGTTCTCAAGCCAACACCTCAGTGCTGCTAGCCCAGGCCAAGTGAATTTATTTGCTGGATCCTCTCCTTCACCTCTCAGAGCTCACAGACACATACCTCTCTCCTTCTTCAAGACCGAAGCTAGTGTCCTGACCTCTACCAGCCTCTTCTCAGGCTCAGCTGCCAGCTCCCTGGCTTCTCCTCTCTCCTCCTGGACATCCCGTATCTCCCCAGCTGCAGCCCAGCTGTGACCTCAAGGCCAGCTGCGTCCCTGGGGTCCACCTAGCTCTACCCCAAGTTTCCCTCACGCCTGCCTTTTCCAGCAGCAGGCCCCTGGGAGGCCCTCCAACGTGCCCTCTTCAGCCTCCACCTCCCTCTCCTCTCCTGGCTGCACTCTATCTGCTAGAGGACAATCTATGGCTTTCCACTTCGGACAGTTCCTTTAATGGCTCCTCTCTAGATAAGATCACTCTAAGACAGCCTGGGCTCTGCTCTGCCTCCTGGCCCACAGCTCCACCCCGACAGTCATAAACAACGATGATCTTTCAACCCTTAACAAAAACTATTTCTTAGCTAGACGAGGTGGTGCACATCCGTACAAAGAGCACAGCAGAGGGGAAGCATCGGGATTCAGGCTCCACTAAGTGAAAGTGCCTCGACAACAGCTCCCCCCAACACACACACACACACACACACACACACACACACACACACACACACACACACACACACACACACACACAC